TTGTTACCTCAAGTACTTATCTAAATCCCTTTCAATGCCAGCTTGAATGCACTTTGTATTCTCTCCAACTGTGACTGGTGCTGTCTGTGTGTGTCAGTGTGCTTCAGCATACACTCTTTCCCCTTGTTTGACAAGAGCCAGTGCCAACACCTAATTAAGGATAAGCCGTGGAGCTCTCTGCTCTATCTTTGTCAACCGTTATGTTCCCAGCTTTCTGCCTAGTTGAGCTTTTATGACAAGAGCAACATTTCGGGTTCAGCCTACTTCTGGCCTCTTGGTTCTCCACGTGAGAACTAAATGCAACTTAACTCAGTTGATTTTAGAAACATTTATGGTAACTAAATCCACAAATGTCTTCTGTCTCTTTCTGAAGTACGTGTGTTTGTACATATGTCTGTCTCTTCGCATCTATGTAACTAGATATGAATGCACATGTATATCTGAAAATAAATTGGACGTTTTTCAGGTTTCCTTTCATCTGGCTCCCTCCCCCCAGACTGTTTCCTAGGAGATGATTAGGGGGGTTGGGATGGTATTTTTCTTTTGCAAACACTGTATCTAAAAATCTAATTTATCAGGAGAAAATCCCACTAGTTCAGACTCTTGACGAGCTGTTTTAAGCATTTTGTCTCAATGATACAGACATATTTAGGTCACAAAACATTTCAAAGGGTTAAGCATTCAATAAACTTGAAAATCAGATTAATAAGACTGATAGGTGACTACCAGACAGCCAATTAAATGAATGCATGCAACAATTTTGTGGGGAGATTTAAGTATATGTCCATCTGTATAACCAAGTTAAATTACTTCAGAGAGAAGATGTATTTTTCTTTTCCTTTTTTTCCTGCATCCAAATCCTTGCATCCAAATTCCAATATGAATTTTAAGTAAGCCTGCATATCTTGCCAGGCACATGGCAAAATTGCAATGGAGATACACTGGCGTAGCTGAGAACAGAATTTGATTTACTTGTCAAGTGATAAAAATTACTGAAACTTCTAGAAGAAAATCCTGACTGCATAATGAGATTAGGTATGTATTAAATAAAGTTATGTATGTTTTGAATACATACATAACTGAAGGCAAAAAATGTGATTACTGGCTTCGGTATTTGAGATCCTGTGTCTTGTGTTGTGAGTCTGATAGAAAATGGAGGGAATTTGAGTGTGAATTTCTATTAGCAAGTCCTGAATCCAAGTCTCTGCTAATTCTAACTGAAAATCCCACCTGTTGTGACAAGGGTTATCTGAAAAACTACTTATGACATTCAGGTCACATATAAACATTTAACAGAGTCTGGACAGCCCTCCCCAGCTATACTTCACAATCTGGCCAGCTCTTACTCTTGAAAACTGTTTAGGACCAATTTCCTTTGCAACTATGAGTTCATCCCATCCTTAAATCTGGCAGTTAGTCCCACTTTTGTTCACCAACCTTACTTTGTCATTACATTGGAAAGGAAGAGAAAGAGGTTGTCAGGAAACTAATCCTCTGCACAGCTCCTAGCTGTCTTCATGACATCGCTTTGCATTTGTATTGAGTTGTTCCATAGCTGATTGCTGGAACACTAGAGCAAAAAAGACAGGAATACTGTATTTACATTTTTGACCAACAGTGAACAGAATCATGTCAGTAACATCTCTGCTGTACTTCATAAAGTGCATGAAGACATTGTCTTGGCATTGATGTAGACTATGATAAAACTAGCCTAAACACTTCAATTGCTCAGGTATGACAACAAATGCAATGTATTTCAGTGGGTTACTCTCTGCATTAAAAGCAGTATTTCTTGAGGAGTAAGTCCGTGGAAAAGCTGATTAGAAACCAGAGGAGAACAGGGATAATACACTTTACTCATTATTTTAATCTTGCATTTATTTGTTTACTTTATGTCAAGCAGCTCCCCAGCCAAAACAGCTGGAGGCTGCAAGTTAAAACCTGGCAATGAAAGAGATCGTAATGGGCAGACATGCGCTTTGTGTGTTCCAGAGAAAAAATTGATTTGGCTAGCTTATGAGCCTTGGAAAATCGCTCTTCATGTGAGCTCAGTACATTTAACAATGATAGTAAAATTAGTTTCAATCATGTTAAATTCTGGAAGTAACATAAAATAATTTCAGGAACGTTGCTCAGGCAGAAAAGACATACTATTGCAATGTGTGATACCTACATATTTTGAGTTAAAAAGAAATCCCGAACAAATGAGATTACATTGTGCTACTTGAGAAACAATAGTGTAGACACATTATAAGATGTTAATTTAATTCATTACATTGCAATTACAAGAAAAGCTGAGCTGGTGATCATCTTTGGTCCCACAAGTCTAAATTGTATAACCTTTTACTGCTTTGCTGCTTTCCTGAAACAGTAGGTGCAAGCATCCTGCTGCTGCTCACTAAAATTATTGAGAATTTTTATGCATCATCCTGCTTAATGTCTGCCAGGATTACTGCAGCAGCCAGTTGTGTATTGCAAGAAGCAGTCACTCCATCTATTTCTCAACAATGTAAACAGGTGTTCATAAATTGACCTTTGATTCTAATGCAACTGAAGTGTGTAGATTATAAAGACCTTGAGGCATATGTCTACATTAGCAGCTTTAAGCAGAACCGACCTGAGTATTTCATGCAAGTATTTAAATCTGAATTACCTCCCCTCCACTGTCTACTGCACCCCATCATAAAGGACATGCATGCGAAGTGTTCAGCTACAATTGCTTTGCCTCAGTGTTTTGGTTCAGCTACGGCAAAAAAATCACTAGTAAGAATACAGCCATTGACTTGTGATGAGAGCTAGATTCCTTCTTGTCCAAGCTATTTCTAAAAGCTATTTTAAAGGCTTTGGAAAATGTTTGCTCCAAGGAGATGACAGACATCAGCTTTTCTGTGCATACTCATGAAAATGACCATAGAGGAAGAAAGAAAAAGTGTGGTTTGAGGATCATGTACACAGCCTTAACTTTTTGCTATTTTTAGGGAGTAGCTACAAAACATCATTGTGCTTTCTGTATGGATGATGGGTGTCTGTGGGAGTGTACACTCAAAACGGGGCAATCTGAGAAGCTCCAAATCTGGTCCATTCCAGTGCAGAGACAGCAGGAAAAATGCACTAATATTATAACTGCAAGAAGGGCTAAGCACTGTAAGCCAAATTAACAAAAAAATCAGTCTGTCCTCTACAAAACACAATGCACAGCACTGTTGTTCTTATCAACACTGATGATGTCACAGGCAACACCAAATATGGGTCCAAGACATAAGCTATTTTCTGGCTCTAGGAAACTGTAGTTACGCATGTTTGGGTGTGTGCTCTTGTGTACACATACCTATACACTACGCATTTGGATAACGGCATTCTTACCCTGCTCCTAGCGCAGCACATGCATACACTGGATCTGCTCCAGATTTCCCCCTCCTTCCCTGGGGTTTCCTTTGTAGTTAACTTAAATAACAACAAACACGCCTGCCAAATTCTGCTTTGGAGCTTGGCTGCTTCTTGGACTGTTCTCTGCAGGAACTCCTGTGTCCCTGTCACTAGTTTCCTGTGCTCCAGAGAGGCATTCACAACCTGTTCCACATCCAGGGATGGTGCCAGAAGGATCCACCTGCTCTGATTGTTGACAGACCAAATATCTCTGCATCATTTGAGAAATCACTAAAGCTTGACCACAAGAGTTAGCAAAAAATAGCTTGGCACTTGCATGCAAGGTATAGGTGCTGCTGCCTTGTTTATGAGGTGCTAGAAGGTGTTGTACATTAATATGCCGCAGCTGACAGAATGGGGTGAGGGTGAATTGAGGTAGCCAGAGTTTTCTTGATAGGTGATATGTACCTTTATGTGTTTGCAGTTGCCAGGCCTCTTCATCTCTGTGGTGGTGTTTGCTGACTTGGATTTGCACATGGATCAGCTCTGCTGTTTTCAGTCACATGGCACCTTTCTTCTAAGTCCTTGTCCACTTCCAAACTCTCTTGTATCTGCCTGTGCTCTAGCCTAGTCAGAAGCTGGTCATCTAAGACAGCAGGTAAGTCACCCAGATGTTTTACATGAACAGTGCAAAGAGGGCACTTAGAGATTATTTCTCCATGTGAAGTACTGTGTTGGTAACTGCAAAGCAAACATCAATAAGCAAACTGGAAAAGCAATTTCTGGTGTTCGTAGCTTCTGTGGACAAGTATGGTGAATGATGCAAAAAATTGTACCTCAAGGTTTAATTTGCTTTGGTTTACTTTTGGGAAAGTGTGTATGTGCATTATACATGCCAGCATGAACTTAAAAGTCCTATATGACCATCGAAGAAGTTGTTCCAGGGTACAATGTGTTTTTCCTGCCATTTGTGTGAGAAAGGAGGCCACGTATAAGTCTAAAGTCCCAATACTCTTTCTCATTTTTATCACTGGGCTCAGGAGGCAAGGATTCCAGTATGATGACTAAAGCATTTTAACTGATAACAATGACTCCAAGCATGTACAACAAACTTCCAGAGAAGTCCAGCTATTGCTATTCAATTTTTTCAAATAGCAGTTGATCTAATTTTCCTTAGTTTGCATATGCTTTAGCAATGCTTTTCTACAAATATACCCAAACTTTTTCTAATTAAGGTTAAATGTATTGTCTGCTGTAAGTACACATAACTCTCTTTAAAGGAATATGTTGTTACATTTCCCTCCGTATGTTGCCTGGAAGACAAAATGATAAGCTTGCTTTTACTTAGGGAAAAAAAAAAATAACATCTCATTATGGTAACTTGGTCAGAGAGATGTAAGTTAGTTTCAGCTATAGCAGAATCTGATGTCAGCCTGGTAATTACTAGGCAGAGTCAATAATACCTCTCCTCAGTATAATTGCAAATCCAGTACAACCATGACCAGAACTAAATTGCTAGAGAGCAATCAATAGAAATCTTCTGATTGCATTCCCTGGTGTACACATCAGATATAAAAAGGAAAACTGTCCATCCAAGCAAAAGGTCAACTTTATAAATGAAAACTGCAGTATAAGGCTAGGAAGGAGTCTGTCCACACAGAAGCCTCTTGGTTAACTCTGGCTAGAGGTGACAGGCCTGAATGAGAAGATGTATATTTTGAAGGATAGAGGCTATTTCTACGTGAACAGCAATTTGATGCAATTGGAGTGGAGCAATAGATTCATGTAGCTGACACTGAGTTCTTGATATTTGTTCCCTATGTGGTTTGTGGCTTTTAGTCAGAGTAAATTTAGTCTCCTCAAACTAAATATTCTCATCACCTGTGGCTCAACACTGTCCAAAGCACCAATCTTTGACTCAGATATCTGTGTTCCTGTGACAGGCTGGATGTCATTAGGTGTGCACGTGGAGTGAAACTTCTGGCTCAGATTCCTCAGAGAGGAATGTAGTTAAAGTACACCAAAAACCACGTTGAAGACGAAAGCAAAGCACAGTAAGTGGGGAAGCTCAAGGGATTAATTTTGAAACCTTACTGTTGCTTGAACAAAAGTAGTATTGCAGATGTAGCCAAAGATTTGCTCAAGAAACCTTAATTGTTGTTTTCCTAGGTGCTTAGGGCCTTATCTTTGGTTTTTCCTTCCTCCATCACTTTTGCTTGTACATAAATCCCTGAATAAACACATTGCCTTTGGTGCCATGTAATGCTTACCACTTCAGTTTTTCCCATGAATATAAACAGAGATATCTAATTATTTAGTAGAATAAAAGATTAATCCTACTTATTAGTCTGATACAGTCTCAGAGGCAATGGATGAGTTTTGTGCTGATGTTGTGGGTGTCTTCTTTTCAAAAAGAAAAAAAAGCTTTTTCTGCATATGCTACAGGAGTTGAGCATAAGCTTTAAAAAGTGCTGAAACTAAGTCCCTTAAAACTGGAACAAGAATTCCTAGGCACCAGAGCTGTGAGAGCCCTTCTATTTACTTAGGTCTCTCAGAAACAGTGGAAAAGAGTCACCTAATAGCCCCGGATTCCCTTTGAATATCTCCCCTCTCTGTTGATGAAGGGACTGGATGGGTGGGTTGTTAAATTATTTTATTTTTATCTATATCTATATCTATATCTATATCTATATCTATATCTATATCTATATCTATATCTATATCTATATCTATATCTATATCTATATCCTATATCTATATCATATCTATATCTATATCTATATCTATATCTATATCTATATCTATATCTATATCTATATCTATATCTATATCTATATCATCTATATCTATCTAGATCTAGATCTAGATCTTCATTATTTTCCCCATTTGTATTTTGGAACGGGTAAAGTGGCAATTGTGAATCTGTCTGCTTCTACATTTCCCTTTGAAGGTTTCTGTTGAAATGAATTATCTTTCTAAACTGACTGGAGTTTTCTGAGAAATCTGCTTCAGCATAAAATTGTTAGTTTTCTCACTACATCAAATTATGCTGCCCACACAGTACACAATACAAAATAAATAAAGCTGCACAAAGCTGTGGTGTGGAAACATCAACAGTATTTTTGCTCAGGCTGTGCTGACAGAAAATATTTTCTTTCCAGTGTAACTGTATCTTTCATTTGACATGTCTTTTGTTACAAGTTTATGAGCCAAATATTTTCAACAGGTGCCAGATTTTAAAATTTTGGGGTTTAGATGCCTTCATAATTCTATAATGGGAGAAAAAGCTATTTTCCCCATGAGAAAGTGTTTTGTTGAAGTTAGTATAAAATTCTGTTCATGGCTCAACATAGAAAAAAGTGTGACAGACATTGCATTTGCATTGTGATATGAATTAAAGTACTACAGTCAGAACAGCATAAAAAGGCTATTAAATAGCTGATAATTTCATCATGTTGGAACCAAGTGTAGAACTACAATGTACTTACATTAGTACTGTAGTGCTACAAACATTTTCAATTATCACACTTAACCTTGCTAAGAAGCCAAAATGAACGCTATCAGTAGAGTGTGGAAGAGAGTACCAAAATAGCACACCACTATTCTCTTATTTTCTCTCCCTCACTTTTTTTCTCCTTGCTACAGTAAGGAAAATGTGTGGACTTTTGCCCACACCATTTCTAAATTGCTCAAGCAATTTTTTCCTGTAGATTAATTTGTAGTTCTGAATCCCAAGATGGAAACCTAAGCATGTTTCACCCCCAGGCCATTTACAGATCTGGAGTTTTAATGTAATCTCAAGCAGTGGCTGAGGAAAGGGAGGGAGGCAGCAGCAAAGGCAACACTGGAATCTTTCCTCAGCAAAGGTTTTTCTTTGTGTGCCAAAAAAACTTGCTTCACCCAATGCTTACAGCTTCCTTGATGTTTTCTCTCATACAAACAGGCTTATGTAAAAAAGCTTGGGGGGGTGGGGTGTGAATGTGTGTACATGGTGTACTTACACACAGAGGGCTGTATTTCAAGGAGGCCTTTGTATGACTGCCGCCTTTGTTTGCACATGGTTGCTCTGGTGATGATAGATAGTTTCCTTACATGGATAAATTAAAACAAACAACTTCCATCAACACTGATGCTGTTCTTCATCCTGTCTACACAGAGCAGTTCGAGCTGTGCTTTTAAAGTTATTTAGGCACGAAAAGCAGCAGGTTTCAGGGAGAGTTAGAAAATATATAACTAATAATCTAAACACTGAAGTCTTAGTATTAAAAGCCCCTCCAGTGCTTATATACAACTTTGTTGTTTAAGTACTGTTTAAAATCTGTCATTTCTTAAGAATAGAATTCCCCATCTTCAATTTCTTCTACCTTTTTGGGCTATTCAGAATAATTAAATCACCTCTTGTCAATTTCTGTATCGCTTTCTCTCCTTATTCCTTAGTAGTGAAATTTTCTGCTCACCTCGGGCTAATCAGTCCACAATGAAAGGATAAAAATGGAAGAGACTAAAGGGACCCAGAAGAAAAAAGTGTTACAAAAAGGCGGTAGCTAATTTGGCTTTTTGCAAGCTTCCCAGAAGAATTCCCAGAGGGTGGCTCCCAAAAGGTGGCATTGTTCTCTTCCAATTCACAGGAGAAGGGAGAGAAGTCTCCAGCGACAATGAGAGAAGTCTGTGTATGTGATTACAAGCCTTTAACACAGAAGACAAGTCATAAACGTCAGAGTAAAAAGCTTTTGAGAAGACTTTCTGTCCTTACCAGGTTTCTCAGCCAACTGCTACCAATCGGTTTTAACTAACATTTTTCCCAGGGAATTTTTGTGTTACAGGTTTTTTCATCTCTGCTTGCAAATGGGAAGTTACACTCCTTGACAGCAAGTGTAACTTCAGGTCTTCTGCCACAAGGTTACCCCTTCGGTTCTGTCAAACAGCCTTTTAAGGCAGATTGCCCTTCAGCACACTGGAAAAAATCATGCCTTGGGAGAAAGCAAAAGTCAGGGAATCAAGTTGTCCTCCATCATTTCACCTGTAGTGAAATGCTTTGGTCTAGGGTCTCAACAACTGAGCGGACTGTGCATAGATGTCTGCCAAAAAGCCAGTTAAGGAGGAGAGAAGGACATTTAGAAAAGAAACATCTGTAACGTTATCCTAGGGACTCCACACAAATTTTCTTTCCTTATACTTTGGCAAGGATTGATGTTGATTTTTGATTGCTTAGTAAATTTATTTTTATTAAAAACTTAAGGGAATATTGTTAAATAAATATTTAATATTGCTGTGGACCCTGGAGCATGCTTGATTTACAGAGGTGTTAAATTGCCAGCCATTCTACTGTAATGCAGGAAAGGGTCAAGGAGCTTATCTGTTCTCTGCCCAAGGCATATTAACTCCTGCCAAAATCTCTTTGCTCAGACAACAGTGTCAAAGTTTACACTGTAACCATTCATAAGACAAGGGAGGACAGTGTTGACACAAATGGGCATCAGAATAGGAGGGGTTTTCAGGTGCTGTAGAGCAAAGGAGAAAGGCTTCTTGGGCACAACAACTGAGAGTTGCATTGTGTTCCTCTTGGTCAATTTGCCGTGGCTCCACAATGGTATATAAAGCATCTAAAATCCTGTCTTTGCCATCAACAATGGGGATCTTACTCGTCATAAAGAAAAATTATCTATGCCAAGAGGACACTGATATTGCCCCTGAGCACCTTCTGATGCCTAAGCACAGCTGGATGTTTGAAAAGGAGGGTTGGGAACCTGGAAAAAGAGACATGTTAAAATCACATTTCATTTGGCTGAAGTTTGGCCATCTGCTTAATTAAGATGGAGAAAGAAATCTCATTTAGGTATGAGACAATCTGGGACATTTTTATTTTATTTTTACTGTTTATCATGGATCTGTTTTCCCATTACAAATATTTAAGACTTCTAAGACATAGCTGGTATTCACCCTTGCAGCTAGACTAGAAGCTCTCTGCATGTTTCTAATTGCAACTGTTTAACTTGATTTGCCAAGGATGTGGAAGGACTTATGGAACTACACTATATTTATGTCTCCCTCCTATCTATTCTCTTAACCTCTATATGTCTTAACTATTCCAGTTCAGTTTGATGAGTTAGAAGACTCTTTCATGCTCAGGTAAAATGTATGTGCTGTCCAAGTGTTGGCTAAAGCACGCTATTAATCTAACAAAGTCAAACCAGGTGTAGTTCAAACATGAGATTTATGTGTTGAGATTAAACTTAATATAGCAACCTTGTGAAAACAGTAGTGGTTTCATTGTCTGTACTGTGCATGTCATGTGTGCAGATGATGCTCTAGTGCTGTCCTTCATAGAGGGACTGCTGGTGTGCACTCTTGGCTTGAGTGACACTGTTCATTGGTGCAGCTGACCCAGGCCTTTCAGGCTGGATCTGAGACCTCCCTCCTGTTTGGTACAATTGGGCTCTGCCCCAGGGTTGGAGTCTTAACGGCTTTGGATTGCAATGCAATTGTAAAGGGAGGAAAAAAAGCAGTAGCTACAGCTGTTCAGTGCCAAGCCAAGTTTCCAACCGTATGTACAATCTCCTTTTAATATCCTTGGAGCTTTCCAGGGCAGCTTTTCGGGTTATCTGATGAGCTTTTAGAGGGAGGGCTCTTATACAGAAATCCTCTCTTTGAGGAAAATGGCAGCTGTGTGAGGACCTTGAAAAATTTGGACCTTTCCTTTATGACATCTGTACTCCACGGGCCAAAAGAATTTAGTAGCAGGAAGCCAACATTATGCCTAAGGGGCCCAAAAAATGTAATCTGGAGCCAAGTATTGCACTGTCAAACTGCTTTCCATCATATTTTACTGTGTGTAGATCTATATTAGAGAGCTTATTTTTTAAAAAATCGTAGTTCTAAAGTTATCCATTCCCTCAAAATCAAAAATGACTGTGTTTTTCCATTGAACTTTTTGAAATTATTGCTGAGATTGCTCAATATCTCAGCAAAAGACTAGTTTTGCTTGGTACACTTTATCACACAATTTGCTTTTTCTCTTTAACTTTTCCCTTATTTTTTTTCTGCTTGCAATCTGACTTCAAGAGCCCTTCATGGGCTTGTTTTTGAAACTGTTCAACTCCCTTTGCTCAGCATGTTCACTCCATTTTACCTGTCCTATAGTCTTGTTTATTGTTGTTTAACATTGCTGTTATATGGTTCTTAGATTTTTCAACTGTACTGGATCTTTGAAAGCTGGCAGGATGAATTGCTTGGTTTCCAGTCTTTAATGTTTATGTCCCCTTGGATCTCACCATCTGTTCCTGTCTGGCAGTGTAGGTAAATGATTTTTTTTTAACTTCCTTTCATTTGCCCTGTTTCCTGCAGATGCTTAGCTTGTCTGTTTCCTCTTTCTCTCTCCAGACATTATCAAGAAGGATTTGGTGGCATTTACTGAAGCTGATGAATCTGACTGAAATTTCCAAGTTGGATCGTGTGTTGTGGGGTTTGCTTAATGAGGAGGAATCAGGTATTTTCCTTTTGCTGAGGTTTACATTGACTACTGCATCCTCATGGAGTATATGCAGTGACACCCACAAAGTTAGGACTGGTTTTTTTTTCCTTTCATTCAAGTGTATTCCTCCTAACATCTTCCATTTTTCTTTATTTCTCAGTGTCACATCTTTGAGCACATCAGCAAGCCACATACCTGTTATTTTTGTTAATTGGGGTCTGTTCTGTTAGAGTTCAATCCCAGTATAATCCAATCCCTTCACAGTCACAGCTACCAGAGGCAACCCTACACTCAAGACCAGTAGTGGTGTAATGGAATCTTGAATTTCAAGATGGTACACTTTTTTTTTTTCAACTTCAATTTCAAAACTGCCTTCAGTTTTGAAAGTGCTCAACTGATATCCTAGATAATTGTTTTTGTAAACATTTGGAGATACAAACTCTGTCTTTCAGAGTTGAAGATACTATCCTTCTTGTGCACAGCATTCACTTAAAGCCTTTTACAGTGTTCTCTCGGAGTATCTCTACTTTCATTATTTTTTGAAGTTGATATTGAAGTCAAATGAGATCAGCTTGTGGTGTATGCCTTAAGAAGTTACTGAAGGGCAGTTAAGGATCTGCCTCATGAAAGGATTAATCTGAATGAAAACCCACCTGCTGTTCCCTTTTGTCATTCATCAGCCGTGCTCAGATTCTCCTCTCAGTCAGACCTATGAAATAATTTGCCAGTTGTTGCAGTCTGTCAACTATGCCTGTTAACTAAAAGTCATTTCCATACAACAGCTGTCCCTCTGTAGCTTGTGCAAAACGAGTTTGTTGTTGGTCCCCTTCAAAAACCAGAACCCACAGCCATTTGATGTTCTTGGGAATACTCATAAAGAGACCAGGACCCTAGCTGACACCAAGGCTGAGTGCCAGTCTGGGAGTCAGAGCCTTTCCTGCAGCAGTCACTACGATTTTCAATCATTTCATCTAGTTCATTAGGTCAGAGTGATGTTGAATGGCTAAAGTGGATCTTGCAGAATGATTAGTAATGTTTTATCTGTTGTATGGCTAAACAGAGGGTTTTGATTTTCAGCTGTCAGCCAAGAGTTCTTCCCCAACTACTTAAAATTAATGTTTAAACTATGCTATAAGGACTTTTACAATGATCTTTTCCTTCTTTTCCATCAATTTTTGGCAGTTCCTGTAACTTCATGCAAGACCATGAGATCCTTTTGACAGCTTAGCAGGAGTTACTCATTCATTCTGACTAAAGCCGAAGAAGCTGTACTAGAAGTTACATCAGTGTCTGGACTATTGGCACAGGTGGTATTTAAATGATGAGTAGCTCCTTAAACATTGTGATCCATGAGGATTTTGGTTTCCCAGGTAGAGATAATTTCCTGATAATTGCTGTCGTGAACAATTTTGCCAGCAGCTACAGGCTATCCTAATGTAAGTAGACAAGCAGATCATATCTGGTCTTTAGACTGAATAATGCTTTTAATTTTTTTTTCTATTTGGCTGATCTTTAGATTCTAGACCACGCTCAAAAAATATTCATCAAAACACTTAGAGCTCTATTATTTGAAAAAATGTTTCCTGACTTCAGCTTTGTCTGTTTGATTCAAAAAATCTTGTCTGCTCTTATTTCCTCCAGCTTAGACTAATGGCTCTGCTTGCTGATTTATCTAGTAAAATGTTTTACTACACTTCAAGCTCTGTGTGAAAAAAAAAAAAAAAAAAAAAAAGTAGTGACACCAACTCAATCCCTGTTTAGGGCTTGTTACTCATGCAACAAAAGATAGATTTCAGGGCCCTGCTAATGTTCTGTAATGTCTTCTATCATCAAGTCCTGGAATACATTTCAGAATTGGATCTTGGTATTACATGAGAAGTGTTTCACATATTAATCTACTGGCTGACGGAAATAAAAAAGACCACCTGAATCACTGCATTCTCTCATGCTTAAATTATCTACAGGGTGACCTTTGCTCTCTCGTGTATGTTATACACTTGTGCATCATATCCCTGGCAGAGGAGAAGAAGAGTAGTATACACTAGGCATTCTGTTTCACCACTGAAAACCACAAAAGCTGTTGTTCAGGCTTGAGTCCACTTTAAATCTCAGTTCTCAAATGACTTACACTAAACCAAAGCCAGAACCACCACGTAGTGTCTCTGAATTTACTATATCACTTGAAAACACTGCTCCTAGTTAAATCAGGTGAAACCCTTCGTGAAAGGGCATAGCCCGATATACGAGTTGTGCTGCAGCTGGTTGGGTTAGGAGATGAGTGGCTCTTATTTGCACATTCTCAGCTGATTCAGATTTTCTGGTTTTACTGCATTTGCAACTGCCGAGAATAACTTGTGCTAACTTGCATACATGTTAGGCTTTTTGTTTTATTGTAACACCTTTTTTTCACAGAAACTGGTGAAGGTGTCACTACTTATACCATTGTGCTGGCATCACTGAGGGAGCAGGAGTGACACAGAGGATGGGGTGAGCAGATGAGGACAGCGACCTCTTAATCAAGTTAAGCTGTAGTCACAACATATCTGACTGTGCCCTGAACAATTTTAATTAAAAAAAAAAAAAAAAATGTTGACATGAGGATGGCTAGGAGCCAGGGATTAAATTCTGGCCACACGGAGCATGCAACAGGGAGGAATTTCACCAGCTGATGAATCCCATCCCATGTTTTTCCAGGAAAACATTCTTGAACTGATCATGGTCCACATTAAAGTTAATTTGGTCTATTGACCTGTTACCCTTGAAAGCCAAACATCCCATAGACTTCATTTGGGTTGGGATTTCATTTCAAGTGATAGTTCAACAGAGCCATAAATATTCACAGAAAGTTTCTAACTAACCCTTCAAACTGATGCCTTACCCACCACACACCCCCATGATATCCCTGCTTAAAGACACATCTGCTCAGAGTGCTGTCCTCCATTTTATAAAGAAGCAGCAGAATGGCTCTACAGCTTGCTGTAAGAAGGTTTTCTGCACATTAAACATATTCTGCCCCACAACTGGGAAAGTTTTGTGGTTGAATTCTCCATTTCCCAGCAGGTAGTTGGTGTCAGAGAAAGATTTCTTGTTCCTTTTCTTACACAGACCTTGCCTTCACCCAGGCTGTGTGCTGGTGATCATGTTTTTCCCCAACCTAAAAGGTAAAACTGAGAGTATTAGGGGGTGAGGCACTAACCTAGTTTACATTATTGCAATTTTTTCCATTGGCCTTGTGCTGGTGAGGGTAGTTTCTTGTCCTTGGTCTGTTGTCTTCTGATCTCTTTCTCAGCCAGCTCATACCTCAAAGCTGTGTTCATTTCACTGCCAGTCCTGGAGAAAACTTGTCAAATGGGTCATGGCCTTGGCTTTCCTAAAATCACACATCTGTGTGTTCTAGCTTTCCTTTCAACAGAGGATCTTTTTGTTTGTTTGTTTCTTGATTTTGTCCTTTCTGAATATTTCTGAAAAGTGATGGAAAGGAAGACAAGCAAAGAAGACCATTTGCTTGTCTGGCAAGGGAGATGGCATGATTTAAAATTGGTTGAGCTAAAGAAATACTAAAACCTCCAGGAAAATTCTAACATTCATTCGGATGTTTTTGTTTATTTTTAGAGCTGTGGAATATCCATGATTTTCAGTGTTTTGACCTTTACTTTGAAGAATGTCATAATTGTGCCAGCAAACTCAGCTGTCAATATTTTCATTTCACACATCTTTATAGAAGTTTATAAGTGATCTATAAAATTGCACATACTGAGCATATGTGGTCTCAGGCAGAAAAGATTTAATAAATATATACAAAAATACAAATGTGTCTGTTTAAAAGTTATAAAGCCACAAAAAAAATGAAATTGGTGATTTTAAAGCATTTTACAGTCCTGTAACTCAAATGCGAGACAGTCGGGTTTTTCTTCTTTTAAACTCAAAATGATTAACCTTTTAGTCTTTAATGTGGACTCATGCAGTGCCTGTGGCCATTATGGCAAATAACCACATTATTGCATTTAGGAAATTAGCTACTGTGTGCTTGTGGTAATTTTGTCTCCATGAAAGTAGCTCACAAATTTCAAGCAGGCAGGCTTATTACAGGAATCAGTTCTGCTTTTAGATACATACCATCTTTGTTCATCAATGTAGCTTCATCAGCGTGTACTTGAAAGGATCTTTGTTAACAAGCTTTAAGGTTAGGAGTTTTCCTGCTGAAGGACTGAGGAAGGGAGAAAGGAGGGGATCTAACTTTCTGAATGCTGTATTTTTAGAGGGAAAACGAGTCACTTTTTAAAAGTTTCCCAATTATTGTCTCTTCATGATTCATAACCATGTTTAACTATTAGATAGTTAAGTCTGAAAAAGTTGTTATGGCACTATAATTTCCAAACTGGTACTTACAGGGTAAAAATGTTGCTGTATAAAAGTTATTATAAAATTCATAGGAGCTTTAATCTTCAACTCCCCACCTATTCTCCTTTCATAAAATATTGGAACCACCCAGCTTCCTTGTGCTTCAGAAAATTTGGCATGAAATTCTTTTTTTTTTTTTTTAATGAAACACACATCCTTATTATGTTTTCTCCCAAAACTGAGTTGAGTTTAACACAGTGTTGTATGTCTCTACAAGAGGGAAGATGAGCAGTGGGGTATATGGCAGACTGGTGAGTTTTTATGCAATGATGATAGCGTGGGTGGTAAACTCTTCCCCTCCTTTTATGCTCACTAAATATCAAACTAATGTGAAAAGCAGCATGTGTCCTTTTGGAACTGCAGTGAGAGATGGGAGTTTTCTTCCAAAGACAATGAGAGAAGGAGCCTCTCCCATGTTTTGATGAGAAATTACTCTCACCAGACAACCCAGGCTATGGGCAATGCTTCTCCAGGATATCTCACAGTGGCACACTGTTCACAGTAAGAGTGACAGTACAGATCAATCTCATGCTGGTCTTTTGTTGTCCTGCTCACACAGGCAGCTCTGAGCAGGGTTAAATAACAGTGGTGTAATCTCTACCATGTCCATGTCACTTCTACTTAGGGAACTATGACATCAGTGGTAGAAGTTTATTTTAAAATTTTATTTTAAGGAGGGAAAGAGG